CATCTTGCCCAACCCCAGCTCGAAGCACAGCCAGCTTAAATCAGGTTACTTAGATCTTTGTCCAGTCAAGTTTAGAATATCTCCAAGGACTGAGACTTCTCAGACTCTCCAGGCCCATGTCAGGCCACCTTCATGGTGGAAACCATCCTGTTGTGCAACCAGAATTTTATTTGCTGCAATTTTTACCCATTGATCTCATCCTTTCACCATGCACCTTCAAGAAGAATCTGTATTTCTATGAAGATCAGATGTTTCAACTTGCTCCAAGTCTGACCTAGTAATAAAGCAGGATCTGCAGGGTCAAATGGAGCCTGTGACTGAATTTAAAGGATCTATACTGCTCTACTGTTGTAGAGAATCTTGGTCCTTCCAATGCCAATTTTCCAATTGCCAAGGCAATGTATAGACAGCTGTATCTCTAAGTGTCTGCAAATGCTGACATATTTAGCTGCCTGATATTTTCAGGCTTGGTTTCAGCTAACCTGCAAGTGACTTTCAAGAGAGCACAAAAACACACTTGAATATCTCCCGCTTTTACATAGAAAATAGCTCAGGAAACTCAGACAGAATCTTATTTCCCCAGAGACTCTAGAGCCACGTTTGTAAAGCAAGTGTTACACTTCCAACACTTTCTAGCCTTATATCTTCCACCCACATTCTTTATTAGACTGTAATTCTGAATGCAGTTGTTTGCTATGGGATCTCTAAGCTAAGGTCCAAAGGCAAAGAGAAGTATCAACACTACAGTCAGAAAAAGTTTTATCTTGCAAGAAAAAATGTTAATGGATAGCTCCGGATTTTTTGTATTTTTATAGGGGTTGTTTTATAATAAACAAAAATAGAATGACAGAAAAAAATGCACTTTTCTAGATTTCCTCCTGTCAAAAGCCTTGATTAGTTCACAGGAGTTAGCAATTTAATTTCCAGTTGAAATCAAATCCTGTCTTTCAGTCTCTACTGGCCCATAGCTGATGTCATGTTATTGTATTTTGTTTAATATGATGAGTTTCAGCTTTGAAAAATCTGATTTCAGAAGGGTTGACACTTCTGAGCACTGTGTAGACCTTTTCCTTATGTAAGAGTCTCATCTGTAAAAAAGTTCGCCTTTCAAGAGGGAAAGATGTGGAGGATGTAAGAGTGAACTGACAGGGAGTTTCTTTTGCCCATCACCAAGTTATCTGGGTCATTTTCATACCAAAAGAAGGTGTTATGAGACACCAGAAACTCACAAACCTGTTCTCTCTGAAGCTATGCTCTCTAGTTCTGGACACTTCTTAGCTACAGGTGGGACAGAATGCTGTAAGCGATTATCTGACAGATCAATTTCCCATCCCATCTCCAGCAGTTTAAAATACTGTGGGGTTCAAGGCAATAGATCTGCCTCCTAGGTACCATAAGATGTTCCAGCTCAACTAAAAGTTTCTTCTCAAACCTACACTAGCTGTGCACAGACTTTGTTATCTCATTCTTGTATTTTCATTGTAGGGTAGACTTTGTAGCTCCTTCTAAATTCATGATCTTCAGTACTGAGTTTGCTCCACACCTTGGCCCTGTGGAGATGGTATTGCATTGCTTGTAGCAGCTGATTTCTTGAGATCATCTAGGTTGATTAATCCAATAAGCTCTGTACCAAGTGCCCTGCCAGCACCCACAAGTTCTTATGGTGGTAACCAAGGATAGATAGTGGCATAATTGTCTCTGGTGTGTATGAACATACTCTCTATGGAGAAGTCCTCCAGCTAGCATGGTCTAATAGAGTAGACCATTCCTTTCTAGTTCAGGTAGTAGTTTCTGGTTTGGGCACTTGCCTTAGCTTTGATTCCCCATTAGGAAGAGGAGACGATAGCTGTCATCATATGTGCTTACAGGCAAGAACTAATAAATGCTGTTTGTATGGTGTCTGCTACAATGAGGGCTCATACAGTTGGCTGATACATTCTGATGGAATACTAAAATCTACCTTTTTTACTTATTATTTGATGTGACATCTTAGGTTTTAAAATGTAGACAGTTGGTTCTTAATTTGCTTAGTCATGAAATTGTATTTCAGTTCATTAATACTTTTTTTTAAAAGGAGCATTGGGATTTTTTGCTAGTTCAGAAATCTTCCAGGAGCTGGGCAGGTTTGTTCTCATTCTCGTGAAGGCTTTCTGATTGCTTGAATAGAATGCCAGGGTGTACAAAACCTGTCAGGACAAGAACCCTGCCAGCATCCCAGATGTTTATGTACAGTGGAGACCACAGGAGCAAGGAGGTGATCACAGTTTGAGCTTGGATCTCTTGCTCCACTCTTGAAGGGATGGAAGTAGACTGCAGCTTCTCCGAGGTTTGTGGAGCCACTCTTCTATCTTGCATTGAAGCAGGAGCTCAGCTCAGTGTTCAGGGATACATAAAGGGCATCTCAGGGAGGCCTCAAATTTCTGAGACCATGACAAGGTTGGGGCAAATTTCACTTGCTGCAAGATCTGCTATATGAAATGCCTTGTGCTAGAGAAATCTAAATACCATATGTTGTCATGATGCACATACAGCTGAGAGATTTATTACCATATCACAGAACATGACGTGCTTGACAAAATATAAGTTTGGTACTCCAACTTACCTCTCCGCAGTATCTCCCAGAACGATATGGAGGCCAGCCTCACACCAGAGAGGTATGAGGTGAAAGTCTTCCTGACAAGACACACCTTTATGAACTGTTAGCTCTTTCATATTTACAGGGGACATATAGTGCCCTGAGATTTATATTATCAACACTGATATTTCCCTTTTAATCTATATAGCAATAAATCCCCTTACAGCCTTTTTTTGGGAAGGTTCAAGTAGATGCAGCTTTGTAATCAGGGCTTCTTAGGAGAGGGTGCCCATTGCTAACTTCAGCATAAACGCACAAAATTATTTCTCATTTCAGATGTCTGTCAGAGTAGTGCCAGCAAGATTCAATGTAAATAACATTTTTCTCTTGAGGCTGAAGCCAGCACTGCAGTCTAATGTGTAGTACTTCACAGCCCAGTGAAAAGTCTAATGATACAGATTTAACTGTGTTGGACATCATCTTTATTAGGCTGCTTCTGGGATACATGAGTATTGACAGTTATTTATGATAAATAATGCTCCTCTGTTATTCTTACATGTCTGATTTCCTTTCAAAGTACCCAAGAGGTTTTAGTGAAGATGAAATACAATGGAATGTATTCTCTTTACTGGTCCCCAGGTACTGTGTCCTAGGCACCTTCGTACTAAGTCAGTGGACAGATTTTTTTAATCCCTTATTTTCTGTCTCAACAGAGTTACAATGAGGTTTCAATTACAGAACGAAAAATGTCATTTTCTGATTGGCACAGTGCCCAGGTTATATTGGCCAAGGTATTTAGTTACCTTTTTTCACCATTTTAGCCTCCGAAAGGAAAAGTTTATGCCAATGGTTGAGCAAAAGGGGCACATAAAGCAAAGTCTCTTTGAGGGACTAAGGTAATCTTCTCTGGTTAACCATTCCCTTTAGGAAGTGTATTGCATCTAGTTACAGAGTATAAATTGGTAGTTGTCATGAGACCATATACGACCAAAGCAGTTATTCAAAAAGGTAATTTTCTCAAGCAATGTGGTGTCATTGCCAATTACTTCAGGTCGTTGAGTAGCAAGCTTATCATAGTTACAAGTGATATTAGAATTTTTATGCTCCTATCAGGCTGCAGTTTTCCAACCTCAGCAGAAAAAAATCCTGTGACTCACAACACTTAGGGGATAGTTTTCTACACTGGTCATTCAATATTGGCTAGAAGATACTTCCAGTGCCATTTGTGCATCAGAGAGGATTCCAGCTTTGGGATGAGGCGGAACTCCACGTTCTGCAGATCATCTGCCTTAGAGCTCACTTCTGTTGCTCCTTTCTCCTCATCCTTGCGAGATATCAGGCCTTCAAGCATCATTTCAGAGCAACCTAGACTATATTCAAATTTACACCATGTGGCATACTGAGTTCATAATTTGAATAACGTACTCTGGTGTATGAGCACATGTGTAGGAGTGCTGAGAGAAGTGTTTAGTGTGGTCCCACTACTGCAGGTGAAGCAATAGAGCAGCCTGGGAGTCCCCTTAGGAATTCACAGCAGCCAAAGTTCCCGGTAGGCTGCTCCATGTTTTTTAAGGCCTTGCAGTTCTTAAGGATAAGCTTGTTTAGAAAGTCCCCGCACCACAATAGTGCAATGAGGAGTATACCATGAATTTTCTTTGTAAGGTAACATTTTTAATGACACTGTCACACTGAAGTGAAAATGCTGGCTATGCCTAAATACTGCCAGAGGAACGGTATGGGAAGAAAACATCAGTCAGTTTGGAATGCTTGACTTCTCTCTACAGCATTCATGCATTTTGAGTACTCTTTGATATTGCAGGATGAGAAAATTCATCAAAATGAGTAGAGTGACAATGGAATAAAATAATACCTCACAGCTTGAGGAAAGTAAGACAGACCAGCATGATGGGAAAAGATAGGAATGGAAAATTTATGAGCTGAAAGATGGTGATTTCTTACAGGCATGAGAACAGTGCCAAGACAAAATACAGTATCTACTCTTCCATTCTCTTTACATTAAGGGTTTCTTCACAAATAGTTAATACAGGATTGCATATTAGCAACAGATGTGTGCATGTGACAGGAACAAAAAGGGTTCAAAGTTTGGTCCAATACTAATGGAATTTCATGACAAATCCAGGGCTAGTGTGGTTAAAATACATAGGGGTTTCTAGCCTTTTACGTGCAGTGGATCCATGGAATTAGCACTGCAAATGGGCTCCTTTGACTTGAATGACAAAGTAATTCATTCACATTCACTGCTGGCTCAGGAGACAGTCACCTATTGTAAGCGTATCTCTAGAAGGTGCTGGAGGTGCCATCCCACCTGCATAGCAATTTACAGAGATTGCTGGATTTCTGAATCTTCTTGTGGGCCTCTGGCGCTTTCCTATAAAATGCAATACACCTTTTCTTGTTTACACAGTTGAGAGGAAAGGCAAGCGGAGAATCCGGACAACATTCACAGCCGAGCAGCTCCAGGAACTGGAGAAGATTTTCCAAGTGACTCACTACCCAGATGTCCATATTCGCAATCAACTGGCAGCAAAGATAAACCTCCCAGAAGCCAGAGTTCAGGTACATTTGTCTCCAAAAGGCTATGCTCACTGCAGCAATTCTTTATTCAGAGTACATTCTTAATAGTTTATGCCTGGCTGACAACACTAATGAAATACGTGACCTCTCTGTTACCTTACAGAAGAGGCCAGTATCACTGCTCTGCTTTTACAAATAGGGAAAAAAGTATTTGTCACTCAGCTGGTACTAACCAAATGGGATTAATCAAAGGGTTAACAGGAGCTCTAAGCATACTAAATGCATAGCAAATAGGAGTTACAGATGGTTATGAGCAACCTGTTGGACTCTGTACTGACAGAAGGGCCATTTATGAAAATAATTATTAATCATTTTTCAACCTTTTATAGACTAATGTACATCCAGTACAAACTGTCATTCACATCCATCTTCTACAGGGTTTCAAGAAAATAAAAATAACTGCCCAAATGAAAATGCTTTCTTAATGTTCTGTGTTTTGATATCACAGGCTATAAATGCCCTGGCTGTAATTTCAGTGCATGAAAACTAATTCAGTTCCCCCCAGCTGTAATGTAGTCTTGCTGACTGTGCTTAAAATTGACCCCAAATGTTTACTGCATATGAAATCTGCTACATTAAAATATACATTCCACTGTGTATTGGAATTTGGTGTTGTTTACCAGGCACTGTTGTGATGATTTTTGCGTGAGTCAGTTTCTGTATTTGCCATAAGGCTAGAATCATCAGTGTACTTCCATGCACATATTCCACTGTAACAATTAAATTTCAACACCAAGCAGTTTATTGATTATGACATGTCTGGGACTATTGACTAACCATGATGACATTACTTTATAGTTAGGTGACAGGGAGAATTAGAACAGCATAGCCATAATATGCCCATTAACAATATCATTGTACCCACAATGCATTTCCAACGGTATAAAGCACAAGCCGGGCTACTAGTCAGTGTTCCCAACAGAACAGCAAATCACATGAAAGAACAGGGCAATCTTCTGTTTAGAAAATATTTATAATCTGTAGGCTGAAAAATAAAGAAGAGTTATCGTGGGAAACATCAACCTGAGATGTAGACAAAAGAAGAAAAAGCCCCTCATGTATGAACGGCAGATGGCGAATTCCCAGTTTACAGTGTTATACATGACATGGGAAATTCTGTGTTTGACCTCATCTTGGGAATCAAGGTCAACCAAGGGATCAAGGGAAAACCAGCTACAGGACTCAAAATAAGCAGTATCTTAGCACAAGTTACAAGTTGTTATAATTGGGGGTGTTGGTTGATGAGAAAATGAACATGAGCTGGCAGTGTGCGCTTGCAGCCCAGAAAGCCAACCGTATCCTGGGCTGCATCAAAAGGAGCGTGACCAGCAGGCCGAAGGAGGTGATCCTGCCCCTCTACTCTGCTCTTGTGAGACCTCACCTGGAGTATTGTGTGCAGTTCTGGTGTCCTCAACATAAAAAGGACATGGAACTGTTGGAACAAGTCCAGAGGAGGGCCACGAGGATGATCAGGGGACTGGAGCACTTCCAGTATGAAGACAGGCTGAGGAAGTTGGGGCTGTTCAGCCTGGAGAAGAGAAGGCTGCATGGAGACCTCATAGCAGCCTTCCAGTATCTGAAGGGGGCCTATAGGGACGCTAGGGAGGGACTCTTCATTAGGGACTGTAGTGATAGGACAAGGGGTAACGGGTTCAAACTTAAACAGGGGAAGTTTAGATTGGATATAAGGAGGAAATTCTTTCCTGTTAGGGTGGTGAGGCACTGGAATGGGTTGCCCAGGGAGGTTGTGAATGCTCCATCCCTGGCAATGTTCAAGACCAGGTTGGATGAGGCCTTGGGTGATACGGTTTAGCGTAAGGTGTCCCTGCCCACGGCAGGGGGGTTGGAACTAGATGATCTTAAGGTCCTTTCCAACCCTAACGATTCTATGATTCTATAATTTTGATTGATTGTATTTGTCACATATAAACAAAACAGCATGCAAAGAGTTTGTACATGCTCTTGTACTTTGAAATAATAGTTTTGACAAACTTAAAAGCAGAATAAGCCAAATCACCTCAGAAAGATAATTTAACTGGAAACAAAAAAAACAAGTGAGCAACTATTGGGTAACCAAGTGAAGCATTTCATAACTGTGAAAAAGCCTCTGTCCTCCAATCAAGAAACAAAGGTATCATTGATGTGAAACAGTTTAAGTGGATAGATGGAATTATATTCCTGCATGTGTGCATGCCTACATGCAACACAAAGTGAAGAATGCTGTATGAGTAAATATTAGAAAAAAGAAATTATAAAAAATTAATAAGCAAAGCAGAAGGATACAGGCCAAAGCTTTGGTCGGGAAAATTAAGGATTGTTAGAAACTCAATAAAAGTCCATTAAAAATAAAAAAAACAAACAATCAAGTCAACAATTATATTGATCTGCTACTTTCTAGAAACTGTGGGGCTGCCAGGGATAATGCAGAAATGGCATAGATATTCAGTCATAATTTCTGCTCTATCCTTGGAAATGTCAGGTAAGGTGACAGTATCACACGATGATGAAACACTTATCCATAAGGACAATGTTGAACAGCAGCTGCTACAGACAGATATTTTTAAATCCAGACATCTAGGTGACTTACCTCCAGTAGTTCTTAAAAAGTTGCTTGAGAAGCACTTCGGGTCATCAATGTTGATACTTAATAGACCTGAAACACAAGAAAACAAAGAACCATTTTACGGGTAAGAGTATTGGAGAGCTGGATGGGCAAAAACAAGGAGGCACTTGGTCTGTGAATACTGTTTTGCCTTTATGAAATAAAAAATAATAATTAAAAAAAAATCCTGAAGTGAGGACTTTATCCCATGTGCAGACTTCGGAAGGAGCACTTCAAAGGTTGAATTTTGGCTTCAGTCCCCCATCTGCCCTCAATCACTTTGTTGCTGTTAAAGAGGAGCCATTTTTATGGTGCTGTTTCACCATATAATTCTTGCATGGTAGAAAGGGAATGTAGCAGTTTATACAGACTAAGCAGTTCTCATACACATGCAAACCCAGATAAACAAAACTGTCCTTTCAGTAACCTCAGATACTGCTAACTATCAGCAATATAGCAGAGGGCTCCTGACATTCGCATTGCTTCCTGGGCAACAGATGCAGAAATTATTGAGCTGCTCATTATTTGATTTAAAATACATATATATTTACATCCAGTAGCATCTGGTTCTGATCACTAACACCTTGTGTTTGTGTGAAACACTTGCAGCAGCACATCCAAGCAGCAAGTTCCTAAGCCAGCTAGAAACTACTGTGAAAGGGGGATTCAACTTTTCACAGCAATGCAGCAAGATGCATTACGGTGGCTGCACAGTCACTACTTGCGTACCCGCACCAGAAACCAGACTGGTCAGATGAAAGAAACTTCCCCTCAGAAAATTAGCTGTCTGCTTTCAAGTGAAAAAGAGATGTCAGATAACACACTCAAGACTGCTGAGTGATCCCCTTGGGTCTGTGCTTAGTTCTCTTCTGTGAACTTCAAAATGTTACCAGTTAAATATAGAAAGAGCCCTGCTACTACATCTTCACTGGCGACACATTTTTATTGCAGCCCAGCAAAACATCTAAGTGTGTCTTTTCCCAGTCTATTCATTTGGGAATTGGGAACAGGGCGAAAAAGCCATGTCACGCGACAAATCACACCTCCTAGGGAAAACAGAATGCCATTTGCCTTGATTGCCGCAAAGCTTTCACCGCAAAAGAATCTGCTTCCCCAGGAGAGCCCTGTAAGGCATACTCCTTCCTGTGACTCTGTCTTTCCAGTAGATCCTAGCTCTTTCATAGGTAGATCTTAGCTCTTCTGTGAGTTGCAAGAGAAAAATGGATGTCATCCCACATCCCCCATGTCATCCCATGTGAACTGTGAAAGCTGCTGTGTCAAGCCCGATGTTTTCCTTTAGATTCAGTCACTGGTTCTGCTGAGCTGGAGGTTAACGTTTTTTTGATATTCACTTAGAGAATAGGAAAATTAGTTGGATGTGAGCAGTTCCTCCTTCATCTCCTGTTCATTTCTGTACCCGTTCTTTCTTTCCTGTATTCAGATCTGGTTCCAGAACCAGCGAGCCAAGTGGAGGAAACATGAAAAATTTGGCAACTTTGGTGGCCTTCAGCATCTGACAGAAGTTGATTTCATCCCTGCTCCCAAGTCGTGTATCACAGTGAGTACCAGAGGCTACATAAAAAGCCACTAAGGGAGAGATAGCTATCATTCACCAGGTCATCTCTTCACATGGGAGTATACCAGTGAAGAAGGACTGGAAAAGACAAACATGGAAATATGATTTAGAGAAATACTGCCAAATATGGTTAAATAACACATTTCTTCATTAAATTAATTCTGTTTTGTAAATATGATGTGAGGTGCCTCTTGCAGGATGGTCCTTCCGCTTTTACTTCTGAATCACTTCCCTAAATTATATTTTGATTGAAAATATCTTTACCATCAGAAATTTCCTAAAGAGGAAGTAATATGACTTTTTCAGGGACAAAGCCATGTTTCCTTATAGAGTGTCTCTTTACAACGTCCAGCCTTGTTAAGTTGACCAGCAATTTTTGCCTCTGACCTACATCCTTGCCAAGTCCAGGACAGTTAATATGATCTAGGCTGGCACATGCGCTTTCCCTCTCAGGAGTTTTTCTATGGCTAGAAAAAGGGTATTTTGCCTTGATACTTGAGTGACAGCACACCACTGGGTTTAGGGAGTCTATTCTTCTTAAACTTTTCTTCTTAATTACTGAGCACCAGGGAAGCAGATAAGGTTGACTGTAAATTGTATTTAACTAAAAGTCTGCATTGATTCACCTGAGACTTCATTTTTACTCTTGAAAGGCTCCAAGCTTGATGCCAAGAAAGCTCGCTGCTACCATCCCTGCCGTGGGATACTACTCACCGCTGCAAGGGCAGCTGACTACTGCCTGGCTGCCCAGCACGCTCTCCTTCATCCCTCACCACTTAGAGCTCCTGCCCTTCCCAAAACCATACTTGCTTTTCAATGTCCTCCCCGCTTACGGTGTGCCGCTACCCCACAAGTTGGAAAGGAGCAGTGCCTGCACCAGTTCCACATAGAGAAGAATACGGGGAGCAGGGGAAGTCTGGGGCATGTTTTTCTCACCCATGACTAATTTGGGAGTGTGCGGTTCCTCTCCTTGAACAAGACTGCTGGGACGATGGGTGGCCTGTGATGCAAAGACAGCTTGCTGCAGGAGTGCCACCATGAGCAACAGCAGCCTAGCAAGCACAGGCAAGAGCCACCATGGACCAAGAAGGAATTCCCCATCTGCTAGAGGAGCAGCATGCTCTGCAGAAACCCACCCACTCAAATGATAGCCTCTTCCTGAGGGAATGGTGCATGGAGCAGCCCTGCAAAAGAACTGGGGTTTTACTCAGCCCTGAGACAATGCTGGATGACCCAATTGTATTGGTGGATTGAAGCAGGCAAGATGCCTGCCAAGGTGTGCATAGCCCCACAGTCCAGCCAAAGGGGCTTTCCTCCTCAGGTTTATGCTGCTTTCCTCATGTATGCTGGTCCTCATGCGCTGGGGAGAGCAAAGAACATGCTTAGGTCAAAAATCAGACTTTGAAGATACTTTTCTTCCCCAAAGTAGTCAATGTGTGAGGGAGGTGGGTTTGATATGCTGTGTTGGTGACTTGAATAAAGGGGCACGAACACAGTTTGAGCTGAAATACAACAGTCTGAGAGGCGTAGCAGTGCTGAGCTCTGGATTTGGTACTTTGAGTCTCTGGGGGCAATAGAATTCTTCAGCTGGTTAATTAAAATGCTTATTAGGAAGCCTCTCATTTTTGACCCAAATTAAGAAAGCTCCAAAACTCTCTCAGAAACAATAACGAAAAGAGACAGTCTTAATCTGCTAGACATAATAGGATGGTTTGACCCCACAGTTTGGTTTAATTGTACATCAATAATGAGATCAGCCTGCCCACTTACAAGATGACTCTATGGGTTATTATTTACATAATATTAATCTCCTTCCAACATATGGTGCTTTTTTTCCCCCTGCTTATTCAGAGTCCAATCCTACCACTAATTTCTGCACTGACTTTCATGAGAAGCACTGTTGGAAAGCATTGTTTAAAGGGTTGAACAATCTTTTGTCTTGCAGTCACAGCACATACTGCATACACATAGGGCAAGCTACTGAGCAAAGCCATTAAAATGTGGTCTCCCTCCCAGACATACCACTTGTAAGGGTGGCCATTCATGACAGAGTCCAAAAGCAGTGCAAATCGTGACCCAAAGGCTTGCTGGGGAGGCTGTCCTGTGCACATGGGAGTGCAGGTAGGTTAATGACTCTGAATAGGTTGCTTACTTCAGAAATCCCTCCAGCCAGACCACAGCTGCCAGGTCTTCAGCCTTCTTCTAGCTGCTAATTTAGTTACATAGTGGATCACAGTGAGTCAATAGCTTTCTTGTCTGGCTGGTACTTCAGGTTTGGGAGTCTTGTATGCTATGCAGTAGGTGATTGTTTCAAGGAAAAGAAAGAAAAGATAAATCCTACCCTATACAGGTTCATTTCTCCAGGCCACAACTATTCAGCAGAAGTCAGATATACTGTGTCCCTCCTCTTACAGATATTAAACAAGACTTTTCCCACCCCTGCTTGGATCTTAATATCCTCTTCATCCCTATCATTTTATGTCAACTAAAGGGCAGTCCAGTTAGATACAGGACTAAACTTCAGCTCCAACAAAGGGATTTAAGCACCTAACTGATTAAAGTCAACAGGGATTATCAATGGTGCTCACCTCATACAACTTTAGGTGACTGAACTGCAGCCACACACACCTGGATTAAGAATCCTGGGCTCACTTTAAAGAAGTAAAAGTCTTCATGCTAAGGTTTCCGGGTTAGACAAAGTCTGTGCATTAGTGCAGTTTCCAGGGAGTGAATTGTCCCTGTGCAATGATTAGCTGGAATATAAACACTGGCATTGTAATCATCTAATGCTAAGGGGCCATGATTCTTAGCCCAAGTAGACAAGGGCTGCAAGCCAGCACCCACACTGGGACAACTTATCATTGTGTGGGAATATTTGTGTAGCATAGAGGAGGATTCTGGGATTATCATAATGTGACAGTTTTTCTTCGTCAGTATATGGAGTGGTTTAATTTCACCAGTCTTTTAATAGAAACCAAACTGCTTTCTAGGGTTATTGCTTACTTTCTGTCCTCTTGATGTGTCTGTCTGATAACTGCATGGCCATGATGCCTGACCAGAATCTGGAAACTGCTTCATGTCATGAGCAAATACCATCAACTTCATTTTGAAAAACCAAAGCCTTAGAATTCCTGTTTTGCTAGCAAGTTCAGTACTTGGGGAGTTTGTTTTGACATATAACAATTTTGCTTGGGCTTTCTTGTGTATTTATGAAGTTTCAGAATTTCCCACTGAAAATCTATTTTTCCAGATATGTGTAGCATCTCCATCCACATGCAGCTGTTCAAATGCCATAATAATTCATATTATTACTTCTTTTTCACCAATTTCATTATTTTATTTTGGGATGCAACCAGAACAAATGGACACAGAGTGGGGCAGTTTCTGGCACTGGCATCTTGTTAAAACCCAACACCTCCTAGTCTTCCAGCTTTCATCCCCTCTCACCTAATAGTGGCAGATTTCCCTCTGTCCTGGGTTCAGCAGTAGCAGTCATTTTTCTCCTTCTTAGCAGCTGGTACAGTGCTGTGGTTTTGACTTTCAGCCTGGGAACAGCGCTGATAACACCAATGTTTTTAGTTGTTGCTAAGCAGTGTTTAGTCTGACCAAGTCCTTTCTGAGTTTCATGCTCTGCCAGGGAGGAGGGGAAGCTGGGAGGAAGCAGAGACAGGACACCTGACCCAAACTAGCCAAAGAGGTATTCCATACCACAGCACATCATGCCCACTATATAAACTGGGGGCAGTTACCCAGAAGGACTGGATCACTGCTCAGTCAGGCTGGGTATCGGTTGGCAGGTGGTGAGTGGCTGTATTCTCTTCCCTTGTTATTTCCCTTATCATTATTATTATTGGTGGTAGCAGTAGTGATTTGTGTTATACCTTAGTTACTGGACTGTTCTTATCTCAACCTGTGGGAGTTACATTCTTTCCATGCTCCTCCCCATCCCTCTAGGAGCAGGGTGGAGGAAGGGGGGGAGTGAGAGAGAGACTGCATGGGTCTGAGTTACGGCTGGGCTTAAACCACGACACCATCCCTCTGCACCCTCTACCTATCTTCCATGCAAGAAAGTCCACTTATTTCACAGTTTTGATGGTTTTCAGGATGCTATTTTTGCACTGTTGCTTTTTGCACTTCTTTTTGCTTTGATGTTTCCAGAAAGTGCCAGGTTGAGCACACCAGTCTTTGTGACACCCTAAACTCCGTTGTCCTTCACACATATAGGACTGCTTTGGGCATAAATGTATCTTAAACCTGCCAAAGGGTTGCTAGCGCAAGTCATTCAAGGAAGCTGGTCACACAATAGCAAGACCTGCATATAGCAATGCAGTCGTAGTTTCATCCTAACTTAAGAGTAATAGTTTGTGGCATTCCCTGAGCATGTGAGTGGAAAAAAAAGCAATCATCAGATTTCTCACCACTGGTGTATGGGTCTGTCTGTACTGTCTCAGAGTGAGACAGTCCATCTGATCTCCCAGAACATGTCCCAGCCTTGTCCCAGCCAGAAACACTTTGACCATCTCGCAACAGACGCATCCTACTTCTCAAACAAAAATGTGTGGCTGTCATCTCTATCCAAAGGGCCTGGCATAGAGCTTGGGCTCAAATCCAGTTGTGATAACATTTTGTTCCCTCAGCAGATGACAATCAATTTTCCAAGGCATTGGCAATGAGAGATGACAACGTGGAGCTATGCGCTCTTCATTGATGGCCATCCTGGAAGGTTGTTGCCACAGTCTGCTGGTTCAGGTCACATTAACCTAATAGCATCTCAGAAACGAGTGACAGGAGAGACCCATCTTATCCTAGTCCCCGGCAAAAATGAAGGGCCATTATTTCTGGTAGATGCTTAGAGGTTTTGCCTCACCTGATTTCAAGTGACTCAAGAGACAGGGCTTACAGCCCCCTCGGGGGAGACCCTGCTGCAGTGTCACAGCTCTCCATGACATTTTGCTTCCATTATTCATGTGACAGTTTCATCCTTCAATCCCCCACAAAACCCCTTGTAACCTGAACAATTCCTCCTTCCGGCTTATAGCCTTGATTTCCATTTTTACACTGACTTTCCTCAGTAAGCCAGGACACCGATTTCAAGGCAATTAGTCCTCTTCAGTACAAGGAAGACATGATCCTGCTGATGCTGTTTGCACACCACAGACACCTCTGAGCCCTCAGACTTCCTTAGCTTGTTCTTTAGCTCACCTAGCTATCTGTCGTCCTTAATCTTTCCTTGTAAATCCCTCTGGGACATAGATATTGAGGGCAAAATTCTCAATTGGATTGAAAACAATTAGATGGACGACCAAGGTTCGAGAACCAACGTTAATTAGCACCAATCAAGAGGGCGGAGACTGGGACAAAGTCCGAAGGGGTGGTAAATATGCATTGGAGAGAAGGGGATGGGGAGCACAACAAGTTGGCAGGGTTGGGACCAGCTTTGCCCACGTATCAGCTACCAGGGAGAAGGGGCCCTGTGCTACTGAAGGGGAAGAGGGCATGACTGTACAGAAGGAAAACTGGGCTTGAAAAGGACCACACATGAAAAATGGATGATGAGGCTACCTGATTCTTACTTAGACAATTTAATATGGAAAACTTGCTGCATATCAGACTGAAAGGTACATCAGTGGGCAAGCAAGAAAACACATATGCAATGGTTGCTCTTCTGATCAAAAACTCATTTTGGGGTTCTTTTTTACTCTTAACTGGAATTTTCAGATGGGCTGGCTTTTAACTGTATGACAGTAAGAGAGCCCAGGGGCCTCTAGAAAGCTTTTGTGTTATTGTTGCTGCTGTTGGTTTGTGGGGGTGGCCAGAAAAGAGAGCTGGGGCTTGGGGAGGGTTGCTTACTTTTAGAAGTTTCTTCTTTTTTACTTTGTTTATTTGTTTATTTGCCCCTGTGATTACCACATGCTCTGATCACAGTCAGAAACCAAGCATGCAGAGAGGGTGCTGCCTGCTCTGCAACTCCAAACAGGTACACACTACACCTTTGGTCAAAAAAGGCTATTATTTAAAGCAGCCAAAAATCTGGTTCTTCATGCCTGTTGATCAAGCTCTCTGTCCTTTTCCTGCTCTGATCTAACTCTGCTAAGTGACTGTAAGTGTCTTTCCTCTGTTACCTCGTGTCACCCCTTAGCCTTAGGTTTCACTAAAGTGTCTACTTCTGTTTCCTTGTTCTGCTCCCTTTTTGCCCCTTGGTAGCTTCGTGCATTTTTGTGTTATGAGAAAATGCTATCACTTCTAGCCCACATCTGGGTATCTCAGGGATATCAACCAAAAAGACTGGGTGTAAATAAGGGTTTAATTCAAAAAATACTGGTTAGTGCAATAATTCAGTGGGGCTTTTATCCAACCGGGAAAGCATGATTATTTCAAGAATGCCTCTTGTGGCACTTTTTCCTTTCTTGAATCTTTATGAAAACCTGCTCTGTTCCTGAGCCAGTTTTTACTCCATTTCCATGACATGTTCTTGCTTTTGCTGAAATCCATCATTTACAGTGTCTATCCAAAGATATCTGCACAGACTAATTTTATTTTCAAGTGGTTAGCAATAAAAACTCACCCCCTGACCTCCTGAAGCCCAGCAGAATGAGGAGGATGGGAAGGGAAAACACCTTTCATTCCAGCTCTTCAGAGCTTCTGAAAGGACTCTTGAGTTTGATCAAAGTGAACCTGCTGTCAAAGCCACAAAGGGGGTTTAGATTAAATGCTTTAAAAGGAAACCCAAACAGATATTTATTTTTTTTCCAATAAGCTCAAAGAAAACAAAAAATCTGTGTTTCAAAGTAGCAAATGATTCATTACTCTGACAGCCATTTTCAGAGGCGTCCAAGGAGAGGATGTCCCCTTATGGGGTAGCTTGCATTGGCACTGTGACAGTTTCTGGGACCAACGTATCAAGCAATATGTGTTGGCCACCTGAATGATCTGCAGCCTGTTATAGAATTAAAGACTACCAGCCAGAAACTGTGTGCCAGGAATTCATAGAAGCTGCCCCTTCTTCTGCATTTCAAAACTCTCATAGTTGCATTCTTTGCCTTTGCGTTCCTCATCTTTGTCACACAGATGATGTAGAGCTTACAGGACAGAAATTCACTGAATCCTTCAGCATCTTCAATTAAAGATAGATGCTGCTATTTACAGCCTTACCGACCCCAGGCCTTGTCAAGCTTTTAATGTTTAGAAAACTTCCAATAGCAGA